GTAGATTACCTTGAGTAAGGTGACCAATTTGAGCTACGACGTCTTTAAAGTCTGTGTGATAAGTAATTTCAAGCGAAACGGAAAAAGTAACTATTAACACCTTCACGTCTCTGCGGTGCTTGGACGGACAGGCAAATAACCAGAGTGATTCTTTTCTTTTCGAGAAGAATAAACGTTTCGCGTCGGTTCGAAAAATCAAACTGTTTTCAGAGACATTAAAAATCACACAGACGCAATTGAAAATATTCGCATAAGCAATTTTTTCAAATGTTTTCCTATGTAATTTGCATGAAAATTATCTGTAAATATTGTCAAAATTTCATATTATATAAAGCGTATAGCCGAATAAGGGGGTCAAACGTGCCCTTGAACCAAATGTGACATACGATGGATCCATCGATAGAGCATCAAGAAAAAACGTTCTGTGCCAAATTTTAACCCTCTATCTTGTTTGGAAGGGTAGTTATTGAGAAAATTCGAATTAACGAATTTCTGCCTATTTCCCCTATTTCATCCAGTACAAAAATTATGAAAAAAATCAGGTGCATTGTGGTTATTGAGATACGTGTTTGAGAATTTTTTCCGATTTTTCGATTCCAAATCCTAGGTGTGAAAAATTGAAAACGCAAAAAAACACAGAAAAATACGGATTTCGTATTGAAGCTTTCGAGATACTAGATTTCTATAATTACTGTAAATGCGTATTGTCATTGCTTATCTCCCTGAATTTTTTCCGATTTTTCGATTCCAAATCCTAGGTGTGAAAAATTGAAAACGCAAAAAAGCACAGAATAATACGGATTTCGTATTGAAGCTTTCGAGACACTAGATTTATATAATTATTGTAAATGCGTATTGTTATTGGTTATCACCCTGAATTTTTTCCGATTTTTCGATTCCAAATCCTAGGTGTGAAAAATTGAAAACGCAAAAAAACACAGAATAATACGGATTTCGTGTTGAAGCTTTCGAGACACTAGATTTATATAATTATTGTAAATGCGTATTGTTATTGGTTATCACCCTGAATTTTTTCCGATTTTTCGATTCCAAATCCTAGGTGTGAAAAATTGAAAACGCAAAAAAACACAGAAATATACGGATTTCGTATTGAAGCTTTCGAGACACTAGATTTATATAATTACTGTAAATGCGTATTGTCATTGCTTATCTCCCTGAATTTTTTCCGATTTTTCGATTCCAAATCCTAGGTGTGAAAAATTGAAAACGCAAAAAAACACAGAAATATACGGATTTCGTATTGAAGCTTTCGAGACACTTGATTTATATAATTACTGTAAATGCGTATTGTCATTGCTTATCACCCTGAATTTTTTCCGATTTTTCGATTCCAAATTCTAGGTGTGAAAAATTGAAAACGCAAAAAAACACAGAAATATACAGATTTCGTGTTGAAGCTTTCGAGACACTAGATTTATATAATTATTGTAAATGCGTATTGTCATTGCTTATCTCCCTGAATTTTTTCAGATTTTTTGGTAGGGTGCGCCGTAGTAGCAAAAATCAAAAACCGATTTTTTCGACGTTTTTCGCGTGACAAAGCATCTTATACTTTGAATTTTTGTATTCTCTTTAATAGATAACTATATTGTATGGTTTTAAACATTTCTATGTTGAGCAGAACAGTGTATACAAGAAGAAAAGCAATAATAAGACAAGAAAAAAAAAGTGCTATGCGCGATATATTGAGAAGTATCAACGGTATTTTCAAGAGCTCCAATGGTGCAGTAAGTAAGATACTTGACTGTAAGACTGCTGCAAACTTTTTGACGCTCGTTCGCGCCCTGCTAAAATACATTTTTTTTATTATATTAATTTTGTTTTTTTTTCAATTTCTAACTAAACGACAGTGAAAAACTATTTGTTTATTAATATTTAAAAAATATTTTCACCTAAAATATACGCTCATATTCATTTTATTGAAGAATCTTCTTGCAGTAGGTACTGAAATTTTTGGACGAAATTAAACAATTTCCAATCATACTAAAAAAATTATATTTAGTTACAAGGATCGATTACAAGCATTTTAGGTGAATAGACATATCCCCGAAATCCTACGCGCTTTCGAGAAAATAATTCTTTACCGAAAATCTAATGTGAGGCTTCTAATGCGAATCTATAAAATGTCATAACTTCTGAACGTATTGAAGGATTTTAATGTTTGAAGAGGCAAATAACGCGTATTTTGGTGAAGAATATGTAGGCATTATAACAATAATGAAAAAGTTGTTCCTTAATCGCGTAAAGTTAAAAAACCCCCATAAAAATGGTCCAATTTTCAAACGGCCATAACTCCTACAATAGTGAACATATTTCAATGAAAATTTTTTCTAAAGTAGAGCTCATCGGTGCCTATAAAAAAGTATTAGACATTTTTTCTGTAGAGCGTGAAACAAATTTATTAAAAATGAAAAACAATTTTTTAAGAAAAATCAACCAAGGGGGGTAGGTGTCTAAATTTTTCGACGAAAAAAAAATTTCAAATCGTTCTGAAAAAATTATTTCTAGCTAAGGGGGTCAATTACAATTATTTTTGGTGAATAGACATACCCCCGAAATCCTACACAGTTTCGAAAAAAAATTCAAATAAATATATCGTGCATAGCACTTTTTTTTTCGTGACTTATTTTTGCTTTTCTTCTTGTATACACTGTTCTGCTCAACATAGACATGTTTAAAACCATACAATATAGTTACCTATTAAAGAGAATACAAAAATTCAAAGTATAACATGCTTTTTCACGCGAAAAACGTCGAAAAAATCGGTTTTTCATTTTTGCTACTACGGTGCACCCTACCAAAAAATCGGAAAAAATTCAAGAAGATAACCAATGACAATACGCCTTTACAGTAATTATAGAAATCTGGTGTCTCGAAAGCTTCAATACGAAATCCGTATTTTTCTGTGTTGTTTTGCGTTTTCAATTTTTCACACCTAGGATTTGGAATCGAAAAATCGGACAAAATTCTCAAACACGTATCTCAATAACCACAATGCATCAGATTTTTTTCATAATTTTTGTACTGGATGAAATAGGGGAAATAGACAGAAATTCGTTAATCCGAATTTTCTCAATAACTACCCTTCCAAACAAGATAGAGGGTTAAAATTTGGCACAGAACGTTTTTTTGTGATGCTCTATCGATGGATCCATCGTATGTCACATTTGGTTCAAGGGCACATTTGACCCCCTTATTCGGCTATACACTTTCTTAATTTTTTAATTTCTTTTTAATCTTTAATTTTTATTTTTAGCTACTCTCAAGCTCCGTAAAGGCAAGTATACGTTGAGGAATCCGAGTTGCAAATGCGCGCAACGTGCATAGTGATCTGTGAGAAAAAGTTTCATGACCCGCAAGAGAGAAAACGCAAACGAAGTAAGAATGGATCGGGCAGAGGAACGAGAAAGGGCTGGGGAATAAAAGACAATGCGAAAAAGAAGTAGAGGAGGAAGGGGGCGAGTAGTTTTCAGAGAAAGCGCAATATCTCGGAAAGTTAAGGATTCTCGTCTCGTAACGAAAGGAACGTTTCCTCGAGAAAACGTTCGACCTTAGAGAAGACTGTAAGGCGCACAGCCCTCGAGCCACCGACCGCGATAAACCTCCAGGATTAAAGTCATCCGGTGTGCTTCGCACGAGGCCGTTCCAAAGGATGATTTTGTCTCTGAACGACACAACAACCGTGAACGCCATACCTCGATACATCTTCGTAATTTCTTTTCGTCGAACGATCTACTATTCCATATTATCTACACTGTTGCAGATTAAACGTCCTCGATGTTCGATATTACACATCAGACACCTTGATACAAGCCCAGGGCTACGTACACTAAGTTAGTAAATTGTAGACGGAATCTATCGAAAATCAATGTGATCGAAACGTGGTATTAGACATAATTTTCCGATTAATATTCATCTGTTACAGTTACATAGAATGGCCCATTTAAAAAAAAAAACCAACTTTGTTGTTGCAAACTGGGGAATGCTCGACGAAGTTGCTAAATGAAGTAGAAATATTATATGTTTATGGATCGATGAAATCAGAAACTCCTGGACCCATCAAACTAATTATTATCTTTCTTATATTCGTAACATTTTCGAATTTCGCGTTTCTACCACAGTTCATTCCATTGCAATTTTCCCGTTTACTTTTAATTTGCGAATTCGGTCGGAAATTAATTTCATTTTAACCCATTTCCATCATTAGCGTGTACGTAGGTACACACGCGCATTTATGCTGTGAACGAATAGCGTTGGTCGAGAACGAATCACTGAAATATTAACCTTCCAATACCTTTTACAACATTTGTACAGTGATTCGATAAAAAAGAAATTTGATGATAAGGGCACGTTTTCTATGTTTTCGTACGATGCAAATGAGTCGATCGAAGGTTTTTATACGCTTTTCGGGAATATAAATTTCTTCGATTCTAGTTTTACAAAATTACAAAGTCGAAGCAACAAAAAAATATTAACCCTTTGCCTGACTCTTGTTATGTTTATTTTCTTGCAACATCGTGTTGATTTTTTAAACTTGTAACATCGCACAATTATGTAGTCAGTATTGTAATGTAATATAGTTGAAACAAGATTACATATTTCGATTCGTGTTTATACTACATAGTCAAGGTTAATCAACGGTTAAGACAACGTAATATGCATCAACCGTAAAGTAGAAAGAAGAAGAAGAAACCCTGAGCTGTGCACGTTGGAGAGCGTTTCAAACGATACGACGATTAATTTTAAATTGTAAATACTTCTATTAAATTGTGAATTAGCTTCTCGCGACTGGAACAGGGAAAGATAAGTAAGTCGTAGTACGGTGTAAGTGTGTGGAACGATATATTAAAAATGTCTCGTACCGGGAAGGGTTGAATCGGCGGACGCAACGATCGAAGGTTAGAAATCGTAGACACGCGTGTTGCGGGTGATCGTAGTCGAAAATCCGATATCGAAGATATGGCAGAAATACCACTCACCGAGGTCAAGCACCGGCAGGAGTTAAGCGAGAATGTTATCCGGGATAAATGTTTCGACAGCGTGTGACACCAGTGCACGAGGAAAACGCGAACAGCTTCCGTTCCGTCTGCTTGTCGAAACGGCACTGAACCTCCATCGCGATTCGCGTTCGCTGTGCGACCGTTACCCGACCGTCACTACCCCCACCTTTCCGCAGTCGACCGACCCCGACCGACCCCAACCGACCCCAACCGTCCGACCACCCGAGTATCTACCTACATACTTACTACGAACGTCAACTCTCCTCCAACGAGCGTGCGCAACGTTATTTATTTTCTGGTAATACGGTCGATCGTGCCTCGAGAGGAACGTCAACTTTCTACTTTGTACTCACTAGCCATTCTTCTTTCATTCACAAACCAAAACCATTCTATACGTACGTTTTTCAGAATTTCCACCGGACTCCTGGTCCATTTCCAATCATCGAAACTGTTTATTCCACAAACATTTCCTTTCTCATTAAACGACAACAGTACACGAACTTGTAAACTATTATAAAAAATGAAGAATTTATAAACAACAGTCCAGTGTCCAGAAAGTTAATTTCGCTTGTAAATATAAACGTTGCAACACTAGATATTCATTAAAAATACTGCGTCGTGTTAACCAGAACAAAAGATTATTATTCTGTAACTGTTTATATTTTCTTTTTTCTCTTCCAAGATATGTATTCTTCGAATCTTATATTTTTCTCACCTTTGTCGTTCTTTGTTCCTTTCTTATTTTCTATTTCATACTTTTTATCACCTTCTTTTTTATTGTCCTCGAGGTTAGGTTAATGAATGCACATACAGGATGCCGCCAAACAATTTGCTTGTTAGTCGAGCCATAGCGTTAAAAAAGTAGGAGATGGGGGAAAAAATATTGCAAAAGGAAAAATTGAATGGTTTCGAGCGATGTATCGCGCGGTGCACGTGTCTTCTCTGTAAATAGTGACGTTCGATTGATTTCGAGGTCACCTCTGTATTTTTTATTTTCTGATAACAAGGTTGAAAAATTATTGGTTCAAAAGATATTTTAAATTTCTCGACGAAAAAAAGAAATTAATCGATCGATGCTCGATTCTGGACCATACAGCTTTCATTTCGTTAAAAAATATTAAAATTTCTGTAATTTCATATTCTGTCTCACTTCCTCTTGTGTTTATTTCTAAATCTGTTGGTAACGTCGCGAGTGACACGGAAATGGTAATGGGGCTGTAGAGCAGCAGAAAAATGGACCGAGAAAATACATCGGGTGAAAGGTCTGCTCGTATACCTCGTCTGTGGTGCTGCATACAGTTCGTACTTACCATTCCTGTGTCAAATCCAATGTTATCGACACAAAATCAAGAAAGACGTAAATCTACGTTTACGTAAATCTAGTGAGAATTAAAACGAATAACTTTATAGAATACACTATACACAAAAGGAACATTTATTTGAGAAACTGATTGAAATTTCGATTAAAAGTTAATATTTACGAGGCAGGGTACAGCAGTAGTCGGTTCTAGAGACACAGACGAGATATATGAATAGACCTTTCACGTAATGTAATTTTTCGGCCGGAGTTTCTGGGGTCCCGGGACCCCATTACCATTTTCGTGTCACTCGCAACGTTATCAACAGATTCAGAAATTAACACAAGAGGAAGTGAGACAGAAAATAAAATTACATAAATTTTATTATTTTTTAACGGAATTAAAGCTGTAGGGTCCATCATTGGACATTAATCGATTAATTTCATTGGAGAAATCAATCGATTAAGAGTATTTAAAAATTTCAAGATTATTAAAATTCCTAAGGATGTATTTCATTGATACGTACACCGCAAATTCTCTATTTTTTATTTTAAATTGTAATACATCATTTATTAAAAAAATAACTCGGCAGAAACGTATTTGCGACTCGAAATCAGTTTAATCAGACTGTGCATCGGGGCCCCGGAAACTTCTCATTCCTCGCTTTCGCACACTATGCCCAATTGCGTGTACGTGAGCTCGTTGAGTTTCGGAAGAGCCGAGAAGAACAGGCTGATACTCGCTTTCCTTCTCGCTCTTGCATCGCTTACGTCGCTTACGTTTCTCGAAAGCAAGCCTGCTGGCATCGCCACCCGTTCGAATCGTCAGTAAACGACAAAAGCCATCGTGACTGACAGACCTTACATTTCTCGAAATCGGACCTGGGCGCTTTTTGAAGATTCATTGACTTTCCATACGAAGCGACCATGCGTTATATACATATACATGTTATACATGCTAGGAACTATAAGTTGTATAACTTTTGTCGTATATCTACTCTCTAATAACATGGGAAAATTTTAAAATATAAAAAAATGTAAGAATACTGTAGAATTTTTGCAATGGAGAATTATTGAAGGAAAATGAATTGATTATATACATATGTATATATCGGACATATCCCTCGCAAACACGCCGCAAACATTAATGAGAACAACACTGCAAATCTGTCCTTTTTTAAAACCCCGCAACTGATCTTTGACTCGGAACTCGTCCTCTTCATTTAGCAATTATAATAAACGTAGACTCATTAAAATTCGTAAAAATAACAAAGTTATAGCCATTTAGAGGGAAGAGTACCCAACGGTTAATAATCATACCAGAAATTTTAAATGAGTTTTTCTCGAAACCATATTTTCGAAATTGGCTGACATGATATCACAAATTCATATTGATTAATGGATTTGAAATTTATAGAGACATGCCTGTATGTTAGAAATTTTGCCTTTGACGGTTCTGGGGTAAGTCCTGTGCCGTTCCTCACAGTGCTCTTACCGGAAGGTCCCACGCCTTCCCCACTCCGTGGCCAGATCCTTCAGGACAAAGTCTTCATTTTTTCCAGCAGTACGACGTCAGGTCGTCTGCCTCTTTTAACTACTCTCTCTCTATTCATAAACAATCAATGCCTCGACACGCGCTACCTGGAGACCCAACGCGGTCGTCCGCTATCGCGTCACCCGTTGCCAGGCCTGTTTAGTCTCATTCGCTCTTTAGGCCGCATGCACCCCAAAACTCTGTCATAAATGTATCGTAGACTGAGCGTCCTTCAGTGGCCCTTACATTCGACTCTCTTGGAAAATACATTGTCGCTAGCGTTTCTGGAAAACAAAAGCCGATCCCCTATTTCGGGGGAATGTCCACGCGTCGCGTCCAACCATTGTTGCCGTGGCGAAATCGACTGTTTTGCCTTCGCCTTCGAAAAAGATTAAGCAAAAGAGTTTTCTTCATTGAAAGAACAAAAATTTTCCAGTCCTTTGTTTTCAGTAGGGGCGGTCTCAACTTCCATTCATTTTCATATGATAGATTTTTATGAGTCAGCGTTTTTTTTAAATTGCTAAACAAAGAGGACAAATAGGACAGTATTCTCAAATATTTTCCGATTTAAAAATTAAAAATTACAGTGAAATTTATTCGGTTGTTTAGACCCAATAGTATTAATAGTATAAATATATGAACGCACGTTCATAAGCATAGTAAAAAAATGTCTTTTTTTTAATAGTTAAAATATGATCAAGGGGTCCTAAAACGTGTATTTCCGTAAAAAAAATTTTTGAAATTTTTGTTTCATTATGGTATTTTGCTTATACATTGTATACGCCTACATAGATCGAATTTCGGCTGTGTTAAGAGCAAGAAGGATAGACTGACATTCGCCGCCTTTCTCGAATCCTCGAAGAGATACGAAACGCCAGAACTCATATACAAGGAGGTTGGCATTAGTGTGTGTAAGTGGTGGGACAGTTCCCTTTGTGCACGGGTCTGCCATCTGATAATACCGCACTGTCTTTTTCAATCCCCCCCATAGTCAACTCACATGTATTTACGCACACACTGCAGCTGGCTGCCCATCAATCCTAATTCAGTGCCTAGTTTCTCAACTGACCGCCATCCATGAGAAGAGGCCGCTAAAATCACCTCCGAATTTTCAGGTCGGTATGGCAGTCAGATTCGGCCGCGAAAGTCCATAAGGTGAAAGGTCTATTCATATATCTCGTCTGTGCTAGAGATTCTTATTCTACTTACCGACGTATCGACAGCCTAACATTTTTAAGAAAATCATGTCATAACCTGCCCGACGAGATTTTCACAGAGAGATGAGATGAATGAAATTCCTAATAGATAATCACCCACACACGCGAGCACACACGAATCACGATTATCGACAAATAATCCTTTCGGACACGAACCACTGTGCAATTAAATACACACGCACCGCGATTATTATTCGGGAGTGATTCGCGTGTAAAAATGTTCTTTACGTTTGTAGTGGAGGGGGTGTCCTCCACAATGTTTCGAACTCACTGAGGCGAACAGAAAAGAGAACTAACAGCGAATATAGAAGAGAGAAGGAAGGAGGACTAAGAAAGCAATGACCTTGCTGCTGTCACTGTATCCCAAGATACTCTAGCGGAACGGTGTCCAGTCAAGTTCAAGCTACACCAGTGCGTTGTCAGGTAGAGTTGGGATCTTCCCCTTGCACTCGTTCCTACGTTTTTTAAAGTTAATTCGGCGTTGCTCGATCGTTTGTTTCGGTTTCAGTGCACTGTGCTGATTTTTAATATTCTACCACTGTCGAAGGTTGGAAATATATTTAGAAACAGTGTCAATCGGATCCTAATTACTCGAATTTCAGGCTCGTACAATTCTGATAACCGGGACAACCAAGTGGATGAACATTTACTGGCAGAAAGCGTATGTCTTCAGATATTGTCATTTTTCTTTTTTCTTTCTTTTAGTATTCGTCAATTTTTACGTGTTCTTTTATCGAAACATCGTAACTGCAATTGGAAGATCTTTCTGGACTGTTATTATGAAATGGAATGATCAAAAGCGCTTGGTAATAAATCAGAGGTTTTTAATTTTGAAAAGAAAAGATTTCAATGATTATTGGCAATGGCAAGTAACACATAGTTATAGGAGAGTCTCGATCTGTCTATTTCTGGTATTTCCATACGATAGTTATCACTCGTTAGAACATTTAGGGTGTAAAGAAAAAATTAACAAGTGAAAATAAGTATTACCTTGACAAGCTATTATATTATTACAATAATCAACCAAATAAATTTTCTACTATAAATTAATTTATATTTCGACAATTTTTTTAGATAAAAGGATCATGTACATATATGTACGTTAATTTAATAAATGTAAAGAAAACTTATAATTCTATCAAGAGAGAAATGCTTTAAATAATATGTAACAATGTATATAAATAATATTTCCATAGATATTCGTTTTGTTAAAGCGGTTCGTCTCGTGTAACACGAAGTAGGCCAGATTTTATAAACTGAAGATCAAGTTAAAATTTTCATTGCCAAACGACAAGATTTCCGAAAACGATTACAAAACATTTAAATCATGACGAATTCCGACCATTTAAGAACTATATCCGTTACCCGTTGGTAATATAATACATTCGAATGGAAATTTTGCGTCTTTTTTTTTCGAAAGGTTCGATAGACTGGCTGGAACCAGTTACCAAATACAGTTGCCCGCGTCTTAAACTAAGCGACTGCTTAGTCAAACATTCTTCAAAAGATTCTGTTACGTTCTAACAACTTTGATTTATTTATTTATTATTTTATTGAATTATCTTCGTGAAAGAGTGGTTGAACGGTCAATTTCATTGAAAGAAAAGTTATTGGCCTTTGCATCGTTTCACATTTCTGCCTACAAAATATTCTACGAACGTAAATGTTCACTTTGAAGCCAACATTTGTTCGAAGCATTTATGTTTGAGGCGTTTCTGTCACCAGAAGGATTACTAGATACATGTTGAGCAAGGTCCACGATAAGTGGATTAAAATTATAGTTTAAAGTCCACTATTCGAAGTAAACAATAAAATATATCTAATCTTTATTCCTGTGTTATTAGTTATTCTAAATGATCTGTGCGTCACATTTATAATTGCTAACATTAATTTTCTGTACATTTCAAATATCAATGATATTATTATGAATTTACGATGTCAGGTGTTATTAAAGTTGTTTTCCTGTTCGTAATAATGAGTAATTATGAAATTATTACGTCCGTAGAAGAGGTATAAATTAAATAGAACTTATATCACACGTTGTTCGAAGAATGATTTTTTAACTAAGTCTAAGATTACTTGAAGTCTTTGTTTTAAAGTATTCAATAAACTTGCAAAAGAATTTATGCTAGAACTACTTTTTTAACACGTTCGAGTGTTTACAACTATCTCTGTAAGTTGATGGATAGCTACTACGAACATGGTGTTGCAAAACAAGTGAAAAAAACGGTAAAGCACAAAAAATGCTGCAACTTGTGAACAAGGTTGGATAAGATTAATTAATTCGTTTCAATAAACATTATGAATAATTTGGTTTCTTGTTTCGACGACAATATGATTTCAATACAAGAATACCTGCATTTTTTGATATAATGGCAGAAATTTTTCCAATTTCTGTTAATAATAACAATAATAGTAATAATAGTAAAGAATAAAGTATAATATTTTATCTCCAACTCAACCAGAGGCTAATTCAGACATAAAATTATTTTTGCAAATATCTCGAAAACAAAGGGCGAGCGGCGGTAACATGTATAAAGAAAAAGTATTCATAACAGTGACCTTGACAACATATTTCAAGGTCATCGAAATCGGTGAGGAATCACTAAAGTAAATAATTACCTAAAAAAATTTCAAACCGTTCTGGAAAAATTATCTTCGATTACAGGGGCCAATTAAAATCATTTTTGATAAATACACATACCTCCAAAATCCTACCCAGTTTCGAGAAAAAATTTCTTACCAAAAATCTAATTTTTCTTCCAGACCTAACCCAGATCTGACCCAAACCTAACCCAGACCTAATCCAGACCTAACCCAGACCTGACCCAAACCTAACCCAGACCTAATCCAGACCTAACCCAGACCTAACCCAAACCGAACCCAGACCTAATCCAGACCTAACCCAGACCTAATCCAGACCGAACCCAGACCTAATCCAGACCTAACTCAGACCTAATCCAGACCTAACCCAGACCTGACCCAAACCTAATCCAGACCTAACCCAGACCTAACCCAGACCTGACCCAAACCTAACCCAGACCTAACCCAGACCTAACCCAGACCTAACCCAGACCTAATCCAGACCTAACCCAAACCTGACCCAAACCTAACCCAGACCTAATCCAGACCTGACCCAGACCTAATCCAGACCTGACCCAAATCTAACCCAGAACTAATCCAAACCTAACCCAGACCTAATCCAGACCTGACCCAAACCTAACCCAGACCTAATTCAGACCTAACTCAGACCTAATCCAGACCTAACCCAGACCTAATCCAGACCGAACCCAGACCTAACTCAGACCTAATCCAGACCTAACCCAGACCTAATCCAGACCGAACCCAGACCTAATCCAGACCTAACCCAGACCTAACCCAGACCTAATCCAGATCTGACCCAAACCTAACCCAGACCTGACCCAAACCTAACCCAGAACTAATCCAAACTTAATTCAGATCTAACCCAGACCTAACCCAGACCTAACCCAGACCTAACCCAGACCTGACCCAAACCTAACCCAGACCTAATCCAGACCTAACTCAGACCTAACCCAGACCTGACCCAAACCTAACCCAAATCTAATCCAGACCTAACCCAGACCTAACCCAGACCTAACCCAGACCTAATCCAGACCTGACCCAAACCTGACCCAAACCTAATCCAGACCTAACCCAGACCTAACCCAGACCTGACCCAAACCTAACCCAGACCTAATCCAAACCTAATTCAGATCTAACCCAGACCTAACCCAGACCTAACCCAGACCTAACCCAGACCTGACCCAAACCTAACCCAGACCTAATCCAGACCTAACTCAGACCTAACCCAGACCTGACCCAAACCTAACCCAAACCTAACCCAAACCTAATCCAGACCTAACCCAGACCTAACCCAGACCTAATCCAGACCTGACCCAAACCTGACCCAGACCTAATCCAGACCTGACCCAGACCTAACCCAGACCTGACCCAAACCTAACCCAGACCTAATCCAGACCTGACCCAAACCTAACCCAGACCTAATCCAAACCTAATTCAGATCTAACCCAGACCTAACCCAGACCAAGGTGCCTAAATTTTTCGACGAAAAAAAAAATTTCAAATCGTTCTGAAAAAATTATTTTCGGTTTCGGGGGTGAATTACAATCATTTTTGGCGAATACACATACCCCTGAATTCCTACTCACTTTCTAGAAAAAAATTCGAGAAGGTGTGAAATTTTTCAACGGGGAAAAAAAATTTCAAATTGTTCTGGAAAAATTATTTTCGGTTGTGGGAGTGAATCACAATCATTTTTGGTGAATAGACATACCCTCGAAATCCTGCGCGTTTTCGAGAAAAAAATTCAATACAGGCTCCACTTTAAACGTTAATAACTTTTTAACAAAGCCTCATCAAATTTTGAATCGAGTATTTATTAAAAAATCATTGAAAATCAAATACTTATACTTTCTGCTACGTGACCTACATAAAACTGTGATCAAACAATGATTATTCTTATGTGTAAATATTGTTTGTAGAAGAGAAACTTGTTTCTATGTTTTTTATCATATTTTATAATTATGTTATTTATATGATTTGCAATAAATATTGAAATGCAATTGCCATTACTTTAGTCTTTCTTTATTTCGTAATATGCTGCTTTTTGAATTTTGTAAATATCATTCTTAGTTTGGTTTTTACGAGCTTTTTCTTTAACCATAACAAACTCGTTAAATTAGCTCGGTATTCTTCGCATAAGCACCCGTTTTTCGCTCGGCACTAAAAGGGTTAATGGTCAGTGCAAATAATTTTGACGTACTCCTCGGAACGAAATTTCCTGAGCCATTAGGTCTTTCATTAAATAAAGAAATTGTCAATTTCTAATTAGATTTTTACTTGGCAGAAGAAGTTTTTAAGTTCGTCGACGGACTTTTCTTTGTGGAAACAAAATTGTAATTTCTTATTAGATTCCTGTTTAATTAGATAAAAGGTTATAATTACTGATATGTTTCTTCTTCGTTATTACTCTGGTACATTTTCTTTGTAAATGGAACGTATAACGCGCGCGAATATTCCATTTGAAGAGATCGTTTAGTCGGAGACTTGAATGTCTGCACACGAACGAATCTTCGAATGTAAGCTTCTGTAAAGTAATGTGCAAGTATCTATGTATTGCATTGGCCTCTTCAAACTTGTTGTATACATATTGTATCGTTCATAAAATTATAAATGTTACACATCCACAAATGATCTCTGTTTAAATGTTTCTTGTAAGAATTAGTGAGTCGAACTACTTTGACAAAATTGTATTGTAATATTCGTTAGTCATTACCTCGAATGCCGACATCCCTTGCATTTCATTTGCCTCGTCATTGCTCGAGTCAACGTACAGATTACTTTTTAACATAACGTGATGAGACACTGATAACGGTTTTAACGCATACACGTTGTTTTCTCTGTTAATAATCGCGGGGCTCATTTGCAATTTTATGGTCGGGACAAGGCGATTGGCAGCGTACAGGTTCACCTTGGTTGCATTTTAAGAAAGGACAAGCAAGTTCACGGTAAATGCTTGAATCTTTTAGCCACAACGCACACTTGCACGTGTTGTCGACGTGTTCAACGACTTTATTCAAAATCAACGAAATCGTGAAAGCTCCCAAATTACGAATTTTCAAAATAAATTAACAACCAAGTGTTATTTATAGTACACAATAGTTTTTTCTCCGTCCACTTAGATTTTTAAAATCAATTTTTTATACTTTCAGCTCCACTACACTATCCTATCTCTTGAAAATAATATACTTCTGAATATAACGCGTATAGCACCTTTAATTTACATAGAATATAGTTATCCATTAAAGGGAATAGAAAAATTCAAAGTATGCTTTTTCACGCGAAAAACGTCGAAAAAATCGGTTTTTGATTTTTGCTACTACATATAGTGCACCCGGCCAAAAAATCTGAAAAAATTCAGGGGCATGACCAATGACAATATGCATGTACAGTAATTATAAAAATCTAGTGTCTCGAAAGGTTTAACACGAAATCGGTATTTCTCTGCGTTTTTAATTTCTCGAAAATCGAGTCACTCCTCTCCTTTTCTATTATTGAATTAAACATTGGCCAATTGTAATAATCGAAACGTGTCCATCTTCGTCTTGCTTTTGGTTTGTTCTCTTTAATCTAGCGTAACGTTTCTCATTTCAGCGTACGATGTTTGTATTAAAAGAGGAAACCCTGGCTAGGAACTCTAGAACCGGCTGCCCTTCGTCGACCTTATGGTTGTACCTTACGGTGGAATTTTTGATTGGTACGTTTCTATCCGGCATTCTGGCCATTCTCGCGATCGTTAAAGCCCTGCTGCCGAAACCACCCAGAGATCTAACCGGCGATGTAGTAGTGGTAAGTCGCGCAGATTCTTCGAAACTTTTCCCGAATTTCAGAACCAATTGAAACCTAATCTGAATGATCAGTGTGGCGTTATCAGGGATCAACGCCTTTCTCTCTCCTCTATCTTCAGTTGACTACCTACATTGTCTATAATTGTCTATTAGTGATAGAAATATTGCCTCGTGGTAAATATTTGATCAAGGAAACTTTCAACAACCTGGAACCTGGAACAACCTTAAATTCATCCATACGAACAAATCACTCTATAAATCTATTTAATCATAGACAAATAATAATCTACAGTGAGTGTAAAAAGTATTCGCACACTAGTCAGTTTGAACAAAAACTTTGCGGAACTTTGTTTATTACAAAAGTATGTTAACAAAAACATGCATACATATTCTTAGAAATCTCGGGAACAAATCTCATTAACAACAAATTATTTATTTATATTTATTATGAAAATATTAACAAATTTCCAGAAATTTACCTAAAATATACGCGTAATAAGTATTCGTACACTTCTAATTTTACAACAAAAACTATAAATTTTAGTACATAAACGTAAAAATCAGTCTATTTGCTATTTTAGTATGTAGTGGGATTTCCTTTAGATTCTATAATCGCTTTAAGCCTTTGCGGCATTGAATTTACTAAATTCTTGGTTATAGTACTAGAAATTTTGTTCCATTTCTCTAAAAGTGCATTTTTTAAATCTTGTTTCGAAGAAATGTCATGGTCTCGAATTTTTTCTTCAAGATGACTCCATAAGTGCTCTATCACATTTACGTCTGGAGACTGTGGAGGGATTTTTAATTGCTGCGGCACATTATATAGGATCCACTGACGTGTATTAGAAGCATTATGCTTTGGATCATTATCTTGCAAAAATATATAATTGCCCTGTAACTGCATTTTATTTGCACTAACCTGAAGATGCTCTTTTAGAATATCGACGTACATTTTGTGATCCATGATACCATCGATAAAATGGAGGTATCCAATCCCGCTCGCACTCATAGAGCCTAACTGCCAAACTGTGTCTGATCCTCCTCCATGCTTTACGGTCGGCTTCAAATTTCTTTTTTCGTACTCGGTATTTTTTTTCCGCCATACTGTACATCGTCCATCTGATCCAAATATGTTAAATTTACTCTCATCCGTAAATATAATACGGTTCCAGTGCTCCATAGTGTAGTGTCTGAATAACCAAGTCGTGGTTTGCGTAGTGAAATTAATAGTTTATTATAGGTATATGTGAATTACAAAGAAAGAATAGGCTCGCATCGTGGCGATTCCTCAACTCACTCGCCACACTCTCACTCTCTCGCTCTCCGCCGCGTGGCGCTGCGACTACCCTGGACCGTAACTAACCGATCCACCGGAATAGGAACATTAACGTACTCTTTCGCGAATTGCAATCGTTTCTTTCCATTAATTTCATTTACGAAATATTTCTTACGAGCTACTCTGCCGTAATATCCTCTATCCGGTAAAAAATTACGCACTGTGCTACTGCATACATTAATGTCCAGATCATTTTTAAGTTCAGCTGTGATTTTCACCGCACTTATCTTTGGATTTTGCTTCATTTTTCGAATTATCCATCGGCCGGTATACTCATTTATTATTCGTTTACATCCGTCTCTTGGATTGTTTTTTACAGTTTTTCGATCGCCATATCTGTCAATGATTCCTTGAATCGTAGACCTCGGTCTATTTAAAACTTTAGAAATTTCACTCAGTGTTTTACACTTATTATGTAAATTTATAACAATTTTCCTTTCTTCTTCAGAGGTTTCGTTGCGTTTTCGTCCCATTTTACTGATAATTTCGTTGATAATATTTGAATTCAGGATACTACCTATACCGACAGCGTCTCCAGACATACTGATGCTAAGTATGTTTACATATCATGGATTATCTTGTAATCGTTCTATGTGGAATGTTACGAATCGACGACTGTACAAATACTTATTACGCGTATATTTCACGCCGATTTCTGGAAATTTGTTAATATTTTCATAATAAATATAAATAAATAATTTGTTGTTAATGACATTTGTTCCAGAGATTTCTAAGAATATGTATGCATGTTTTTGTTAACATACTTTTGTAATAAACAAAGTTCTACAAAGTTTTTGTTCAAACTGACTAGTGTACGAATACTTTTTACACTCACTGTATACAGCGTTCGGGAATGTTTCTTGGAAAAGAAGAGCAATTTAACCCTCTATAAAGCAAATTCTGTTTACCTGTTTAATATGACAATTGTAAAAATATTAATAATGAAATATAAATTGCCAGATAAATTCCAGTAGACAAAAATTTTCATCTGTATTCATTTTAGTGTGAGATATTGTAATTATTATTGTTTTAGTACTTCAATTGATACATACCAACAAAAAAATTAAATCAGACTTAAAAAATGGAAATAATGGGTATGTAGTAACTTATAGTGACGCTGTGTTATAGAAGGTTAATTCTTTGCATTCGATAGTTCTTTTGCTATGGGGATCCAACAACTCGAAACTGTTTTGATAAAAGAACTTTGTTGCAATGTTGCTTTGAAGCTAATAAAATCTGATGGAAGTTTGTCACACATCCCGTAGCGTGCGCCTGTGAGTATGCGCGGAGGAGTGTGCGCGAGTGAGAACGCGCGCATGAGTGTTGCGTCGCTTTCCACCGAGATTGTTGCGTGGTCGTCGTGCGTTGTTGCGTGCACCAACATGTATCACTTCTGTATTGTTCATTATTATTAAACCGTTATATATATATGTATCCAACAATCTAACAAAATCTTAACGCCTTCTAAGGCAATAAAACAGATCAAGTTCGAAATAATGATTTCAATGAAATAACAAACACATTGATTCACTATAAAATGCAACTGAATCAAACGTAAACAGTTATTGTCGCTCTTGATACGCCATTCGAGCTGTTAGACATACTTGAAAGTAGAAATCCATTCCAGACCATCACATTTCTTCGAAACAAGATTTAAAAAATGAACTTTTAGAGAAATGGAACAAAATTTCTAGTACTATAACCAAAAATTTAGTAAATTCAATGCCGCAAAGGCTTAAAGCGATTATACAATCTAAAGGAAATCCCACTAGATACTAAAATAGCAAATAGACTGATTTTTGTTACGTTTATGTACTAAAATTTATAGTTTTTGTTGTAAAATTAGAAGTTTACGAATACTTATTACGCGTATATTTCACGGCAATTTCTGGAAATTTGTTAATATTTTCATAATAAATATAAATAAATAATTTGTTGTTAATGACATTTGTTCCAAGGATTTCTAAGAATATGTATGCATGTTTTTGTTAACATGCTTTTGTAATAAACAAAGTTTTGCAAAGTTTTTGTTCAAACTGACTAGTGTGCGAATACTTTTTACACTCACTGTAGATTATTATTTGTCTATGATTAAATAGATTTATAGAGTGATTTGTTCCTATGGATGAATTTAAGGTTGTTCCAGGTTCTCACCAAGGACCGTTACTATTCGATATTATCATAAACGATTCAATTGGTGTTTTGACTCGTAGCAAGCTTCTTTCGTTTAGAGGCAATTCGAAGACATACGTACACATATGATGATTAGACTACGGATGTTTATGCATTTATGGGAAATTTTAATCCTGAAAAAATTTAATATTCAAAAATATAAGAAATACTTAAAGTAAGATACGAATTATTATATTTAGGGGTTGAGGACAACCCTCTACGAAGCTCCAATTTCATCTATTTTATTAATAAAAATATGAATTTGCATAAAGATCCGCGGTCTAATAATGATATTAAATGTCGATTAAAAGAACGATTTTTTGTACAACTTGTATCGACATATCCTACGCGATTGCGACCTTAAAACGCGCGTGTTTTCATTCAGATAGCTGGTACAGCGTCATCCTTAGGCGTGGCTCTCGCGGAAGAGTTTGCCAAGGATGGGTGTTCCGTGATCTGCGTGGACAGCGACTCGAATTTGATCGAGGAAACGGTCTCCAGACTGAGAACGAGTTATCCCAGGATCGAGGAAGTTGAATCAAGGCACAGTAAGAACGACACACCGCGGCTAAAATCAACGATATCGTCTTACGAGTGCAACTTGCTGAACAAGGATGATATAGGAAGAACAGCGCGGAAGATCAAGGACGAGATTGGAAGAGTCGACGTCCTGGTAACCTGCGTCGGTACAGTGGACCAGGATATTTTTGACACGGCCAGCAAGACCTTGATGAGTCATTTCTGGGTAATATTCAATGATCTCTATACATACTGAATGCGCTACGGAATATCATTTTCTTAATTCAGGGAATCCCCGAGACATTAATTTTCATTCGTCTTTATAGGAAACTATGCATTATTTTTTACATGAATAATTTACTAATTTTTAGATAGATTATCAATATTGTAAAAAATCTCTTGTCAAAAATACAACTTTTTTTGTTAATATAAAGAAGCAATTGACTATTTTATATTTTCCATTGTCTATTTTCTGGAGGGTTTTTTTTTTATTTAAAATTTAAAGTTAATTACTGTGTTACATTTTAAGATTGTACTGTTTTGAGAAAAAGAACTTTATACTTTCAAATTAGGTTTACGGATATACTTATAGATACAAAGTTCCTTTAAAGAACGATACAGAGATGGAAGAGAATACTCTGATGAACTATTGATAACAATTAATCTAGATTGTGTATTTTTACAGACGGTTTTAGCATTTTTACCATTGATGCTGTACCAGAAACGAGCACACATTGTTGGTGTCACGCCAGTAGCATCAAGTACCGATGCGTATCACAGTTCAAGGGCAGCAATAACTAGTTAGTAGTCGATCCTAATGTTCGCAACAATAAGAATCTTATTTTATCAATATCGTTGATATTAACTTTGTTTGTTTAGGTCTTATGGAGAGCTTGGGCCAAGAATTGAGTAATCACAGTAGCCACCTAATGTTCCTGGCATTCTCGCCAATCGCAGACCACTGGTAACATCATTTTGTATCAGACATCGGTGTTTAATCATCGTACATATGTACCACAACCAATTCGTCTCATTTTGTTAACGTCTTTCCTTTAAAGCGTAAAATCAATGAATTGTTACTGTTTTTTCAAGTGCACTGAAAGAGAGGAAGCAACAGGTAGCGAGAGACATCGTGCATGCAGTCAGAACGGACCAAAGCAACTTGAGTGTCAGTTGGATGTCCAGGTTTCTATATCGCCTAAGGTATACGATAAAAATTATTGCACTTACAGATTATTACAATTATCGCAGAACCTTTTAAATTTAAGTGGCATCATTAGGATTGGTATCAGTGCAGTTACTCGTTGTATCATTCCTATAGACGTTTTTCTTTGCCACACAAAATTCTTAATAATGTTTCTTTCTGCTATTGCTAATGAGTAACAACGGTAACATAAAAAAAATAGTAAAATTAAAATTACACCCTTAAAATGACAATATTCTATGGGCAACCTAACCCTAAATACATACACGGCCAGTTTTATTTTTTAATTATCGTTTCAGTTGCGCTACGTACCACGGAATAACAACGTTCATGGAGTTTATTTACTCGCAAGGATGCGATTATTCAGCATAAATCTCACTCAGTTTTCTAGATCACGAAGAATAGCGTTAATGAAACAAGAACAGCTTGATAATATACAAATGACGATGGCAAAAGTTAGATTGCCATGAAAAACGATTTCAGTCGTTGCTCGATCGAAGTTATTTCAATTTTGGCAAATTTTTTTCAGTACTTTCGCACGCAGAGAAAAAATTTACACCATATGTATAATATAGAATTTTATTAAATTAGAAGTGAGACAATTACTTTGTTGCTCGAAGAAGTTCGAGGTACGTGAATGTTTAACACGTTAATTGCTACGCAGCCGACTTCTCGTTGACAGGCGAGTGTGTTTTAACAAAATAGTAGTAACTTTTTGTAAACCACATCATTGTCGAAATATATTTATTTACTTTTATTTAATGAAGGAAAAATCATTGGACGTAGCGAAAACGGAAAGTCTATTGCGTGGCACTTGGCGTGTTAAAATTGCGACGCTGAACATAATCGTCGATGGTGCGTACAAAACGATGAGTATACAATTGTTAGAAAAACTGTCGATGGCGAAATCGTTTTCATCGCAGATAAGTGGCCGGTTCAAGAAGCAGAACGTCATAATGACCGCTGTCCGAGTTTCCGGTAAATAGGAGCCTCGCGGTTTCGTATTCAGGGCTCACGAGATTGTGGAACACCCGCTTGAGCTCGTGTCTATCATTGATCTCGCGATAAATCGATAGATTCATGTAGTACATTTTCGTAGCAACCGTGCACTCGAGTTCGCTGGCAAATGTGCCCACCATACTCATATAATCGCAATAGGCTTTACGCTCTGGTATGTTCCATTCGGCCATCACGAACGCTCCGTACTCGTACCAATTTTCATTAATGTGTCGAACCACCTGTCGAACGAAACATCGAACATTAGTTTTTATTTACACTGTACAAGTTATCCACTGGTATTGTGGGATTCTATTTTCCAATAGATTCTGAATATAAAAGCAATTAAAATAGTACAGTGAAAACTCGATAAATGTCATATGATACATTTTTATCCCCACCACTAGGGGGATCCCCCTTGAACCAGCGAGGCGAAGTGTAACCGGAGACGTAGCGGCTTTCTTTAATAATCTTTATTGCCTTCGTCATCTTAGTTTAAATGTCCCTGTCAGTGTGACCACACTACTGTACAAGAAGAAAGTTTTTTATTTTTTACTTTTTCTTAATAAAAATTTTACTATCATGTGGGGAAGATTTTTCTAATTAAAATGAGACTAAACACGATATATATCGGCCAATATTTGTTACCATAATATTGAATTAAATATTGTGTACTCGTATCTTCGCAAGGTCAGTGGATTGGTACATTTATCGAACAGTGGTAGCTAACGAAACCCCCTATTTCATAAGTGTTGCAGTTTTTGATCACTTACGATCAAAATTTATGATAATTTCACACCTTCTCTATTTTTTTTCTCGAAAGTGGGCAGGATTTCGTGGGTATGTCTAATGACAAAAACTGATTGTAATTGACCCCCGCGACCGAAAATAATTTTTCCACAACGATTTGCAATTTTTTTTCTCCGTTGAAAAAATTTACGCACCTAATTGGATTTTCTAGTAAGGAATTTTTTTCTCGAAAGTGCGTACGATTTCGGAGGTATGTGTAATGATAAAAAATGATTGTAATTGATCCCCGCAACCGAAAATAATTTTTTTAAAACGATTTGAAAAATTTTTTTTCGCCGAAAAATTTCAGCACCTACTCGATTTTTTTTCTCGAAAGTAGATAGGATTTCGGAGGTATGTGTACTCACCAAAAATGATTGTAGTTTACCCCCGCAACCGAAAATAATTTTTCCAGAACGATTTGAAATTTTTGAATTTAATTGTTAATAACTTTTTAACGAAGCTTCCATCAACAAATTAGTATTCTTGATTTTCGACTTATTTTGGCCTCTACTATCGCTCATTAAAATTTTTGCTAGAGGTGGCCGAACACCCTGTATAAGTCAGTTCCACCGGCGCGACACGAAAAAAATCTAGATTAGACGTGCGGACGGCATAGTGTTAACCTCAATGTATTTTACAAATATTTTGATGGAAGGTAGAGTCCAGCGCTACTTAGCTTACCACACATTGTTTTGTTGATCATTTAATTATTTATTAGCACAGATTCTCTGTTCTTCTCTGTTCGAGGAAATAGAAAAAAGAAAGAAACATTGATATCTACAATGAAAACTCGATAAATGTCCTCAAGAGCTGTTCCATAAATGATACATTTTTATTCCCACCACTAGGGGGATCCCCCTTGAACCAGCGAGGCGAAGTGTAACCGGAGACGTAGCGGCTTTCTTTAATAATCTTTATTGCCTTCGTCATCTTAGTTTAAATGTCCCTGTCAGTGTGACCACACTACTGTACAAGAAGAAAGTTTTTTATTTTTTACTTTTTCTTAATAAAAATTTTACTATCATGTGGGGAAGATTTTTCTAATTAAAATGAGACTAAACACGATATATATCGGCCAATATTTGTTACCATAATATTGAATTAAATATTGTGTACTCGTATCTTCGCAAGGTCAGTGGATTGGTACATTTATCGAACAGTGGTAGCTAACGAAACCCCCTATTTCATATGTGTTGCAGTTTTTGATCACTTACGAAACGGTGGAACCGTTCCGTTTGAAAATAGCTACCTCCCGTTCGATAAACGTAGCCAGCACCTCGATGCGTCGTTCTTTGATATTTCCGAACATAGAAAAGGACAGCACAAGAAGGATAAATAAAGAGAGAAAGACTCGCAAGTACAATATTTAATTAAATATTATGCTACCAAATATTGACCGATTTATATCGCGTTTAGCCTCATTTTAATCAGAGAAATCTCCCCAACATGATAGTGAAATTTTTATTAACAAAAAGTAAAAAATAAAAAACTTTCTTCTGTGCAGTAGTGTGGTCACACTGACGCGTATATTTAAACTGGGGCGATAAATCCGAGTTTCAGTCCCTCTTTCTTCTTTAGCTACTGACTCTTTCTACGTTCGAAGCGTCGGCAAACTACAATCAAATTCGAAAGACGATTCTCCTATTCCGTAAGTGTTGCTGACCGGACCCGGAGTAGCGACATTTATCGAGTTTTCACTGTATCTGTTGTTGAATCTTGTATTTTAATTCTGCAAACGCTTGATCGAAATGAAAAGTTTCTCTAGTCAACGAACGACAGATATGTAGAAACCTAATGTATGGAATTACTATGTACATACGAACAACGCCTAAATAAATAGCAAGACTATTTAGTACGACTATTCTGTGTGTGTGTGTCCGCCCTATGGGTGGCTGTATTTCTCATAGTATGTACAGACGTTAATTTACGTCTTTCAAGTCTTAGTTTTTCTTTACTTTATAGCGAGGACAGAGTTTTCGATAATGTTGCGAATTTCGATTTAAATTTTGAAAATTATTTTTTTATCAAAATGATTATCTTAATCTGTTAATGATGTCAACTGCATTACCGGTTAATAGTCGAATGAGTTCTAATGTCGATCGAATAAATTAAAGAAATTCTGCAGACTTTTTTTCCGATTTTGTAGAAAAAATAAAACACACCATTGAACGAAGGTATCGGTGTTCGTCTTCATTACGCCACAGAATGTAGCTGATTGCTCGAAACATGCAATTCCCATCACCATAAATGTTGTGCACGCGAAACGTGCCCTCAGCGCACCTTAATCGAGCCGTACCTGTGATAAAATATAATTCTTAACGTAGAATAGTACTCGATAAACGAACTATCGGCAGTTTTTCAGATAAAATTTAACAGGGCAAAAAATAAATTTGAAAGAGTATTATTTCATGCAATTATATCAAAAGTTTTTGAAAAACTTTTGAATACTCAAGTTTCCAAGTCTTTTTATTTATACCCCGAAACTATTCTTAGACCAGAAATTAAAGTATTTTCTATATAAAGAAAATTCGTTTTTTTTATATACATATATAGCTAATAATGATGAAGTTTTTGAGTTGAAATTTTGTTTACATACTCTTTCATTGCGCTGTTAAATTCAAAGTGAAAAATTAAAATGAAAATATTTAAAATTGGCGCGTGTCGAGACACCTTTTTCAAAATAGATAGAACGCTTGTGTTTATTTCTTCTGGCTCGACAAGGTCTTCCGTTGTGCGGTAATAATTCGGTATAAAGGATCCAGTTTGTCTGCCTAAAGCAGTTGGACTTTGCTTTCTGAATTTTCGAAGCGTAACAGACGCTGTCGAAGTCTCCGCGGTCCAAATACTGTTCACGTACGATTCGATTGTATCTTTTGGCATTCTTGACCACCGATGGTCGACGTTCACACGTATCTGTTAAATTCGTAACTTTTAAACGACTGGAGTAAATACATCCAGTAAACAGCACATTATGGAAAATGTAAGGTTAATATTCTACACGGAAATTTTTCAATTTCTCCAACTATTTTCGAACTCATTTCATTACAGAGTAAAATTATTTATTATTGAACAGAAAAATTGTAAAGAATAGTTAGCTGTGTGAGCCAACATTTGAAATTTCGAATAAGTCATTTTTCTATTATTTTAACATATTATCTCGTTTACCTTTCGATTAGTATCTCGTTATCATTGCCCAACAATGTCCTGTTATATAATTTTTTTTACTGCGGTTTAATTAATTTTTCTAACGCGATAAATATTATCGAAAGTATTTCAAAAATTATACGCGCGAAATTTGGTTTTATTTACTGTCTTCGAAGATGTGGCTGCAAAAATAGAAACACCACAGGCAAGGTAAAAATAGTGTCCTCAAGAACGCTAATATCTGAATTCTTGAAATGTCCAGTTTAAGTATTCTTCAAGATTGTTACATTTTTCGGTGACGTTCGAATAAGGCCTCGAAACAGGTCAGACAATTATATTTCTCCAAACGGATCGCGCGCCTGTTCACGCGTGCGTTATTTATACAAGCATAATTTCGTATGTTGACGGTTCCATTTTGAAAACTGCGACGTGCATATCGATCTTCCGTTGTCTCTTGCATTTAAAAACGGTGAAGTTGCGTATCTTCGACGTGAGTTCGAGTCTCGACTGCCTAGGCACTTTTATTTCTCGATCTACATACAGTTACTCACAAAATCCAGCGTACACCTATGTAGTTAATAAAAACTTGTGGGAAAATGAACATAAACAGACATATTTAAAAGTAAAAACGCATTATACATTTTACTTGTACATTTCGGCAGATAATGCGTGAAGAAATTTTTATACAATATTGATAGTTCATCTATGTTTAACAAAAACTTCAAAAGTATGCTTATTTTATCGTCACAAAATTGAGCGTACAGTTTATTAGTAACTAGAAAACTAACTTTTGTAAAACTTCTCACGGTTTACAATTCATTCGATTGTATCTAGTAACATAGTTCCGTTGCTATGATACGTTTGATTTTCATTTGTCATTGTTTATTAGCGAAAATTTGCACTATGGCTTCACAAAGATCAGAAACTGATATTTCTGTGCGAAAATTAGTTGTTAAATTGTATTGCCAAGGTAAATCTCTAAGGCAAATTGGCAAAATAATAGCTAGAGCCCACTCTACTGTACAAAAAAAATTATTAACAATTACAAATACAATGGTACACTGCATAGTCAGCCAGGACGCGGAAGGAAAAAAATTCTGACTGGAACCGACGAACGGTACATAATACGATAAATTAAAATTAATCCAAAAATTAGTGTACCAAATTTAACAACAGATGTTTCATCGAGGATTAGAAAATCGATATCGACAGAAACTGTTCGTAGGGTGCTACGCGATAAAGGCTATCACGGTAGGGTAGCAAGGAAGAAGCCTTATATTTCTACGGTGAATAGAATCAAGCGTTTGGAATTTGCAAAAAAATATGTAAGTTGTGATATAAAGTTTTGGAAGAACGTAATATTTTCCGACGAAGTTAAAATTAATTTATTTAATTCGGATGGAACAAATAATAGTATGGAGACAACCGAATTCAGAGTTCGATCAAAAGAATACGGTTCCTACTGTAAAACACGGCGGAGGTTCAATAATGCTGTGGGGATGTATGGCAGCAAGTGGAGTCGGTAATAGCGAATTTATTGAAACAACTATGGACAAACTAAAATATCTTGATATTTTGTAAAAAAAATATGAAATCGTCAGCTCTAAAATTAAACATGCCAGCCATATATTATTTCCAACAGGACAATGATCCTAAACATACATCGTATATTGTTAAAGAGTGGCTGCTATATAACGTGCCAAAATTATTACACACTTCACCACAATCGCCGGATATTAATCCCAGTTGAGAATTTGTGGAGAGAATTAAAATTAAAATTAAATAATTGTAGTGTTAGTAATAAAACAGACGCTAAACGCAAAATTGTAGAAATATGGAATAGTATTCCGTGTTCGACTACAAAAAAGTTAGTCGAGTCTATGCCAAAACGTTTGAGAGCAGTTATAGATACAAAAGGATTTGCAACAAAATATTAAAATAAAATCTGTTAGTTACTTTTGTTTAATTTGATCTGCTGTATGCTCAATTTTGTGACAGTAAAACAAGAACAGTTTTGTTGCTTTTGCTAAATAGAAATGAACAATTAATTTTATTTAAGACTTTTTCCACTAATTGTCCGTAAAAATATATGAACAAAATAAATATTACGTTTTTACATTTAAATATGTCCGTTTATGTTCATTTTTCCACCAGTTTTTATTAACTACATAGGTGTACGCTCAATTTTGTTAGTAACTGTATGTACATATGAGAATCCAAATCGTATGCCGTTGACGGGAGGTCGGATTTCAGTTGGTTAGAGCGAGAACGCAAATGTGAGCCTTTCTCTCTCGACTCCCACGAGGCGGTCCGAAGTTACTTCGGGCAGCTTCGGAGAATCGAGAAAGAGAGGATGCGTCAGTTTGCCTTTGTCGACATTCCGAAACTCCACGAGCTCACGTACGCGTGATCTGGCATGTGTGAGTAGGGCACCCGACGGTGCTTTTCTGGCATCACTGACCGGGTGCCAGTGTGGCCAGATCTGGCATAATTGAGTGCATCGACGTCGACACTAGTAACGATCAACTTCCTTAGCGTCTAACGGAGTGGTGGGGATAGCAGGCATATACTACCGCTCGAGCCACGCATGCGTGAGCTCGACACTTCGCGCAGCTTCGGGAAAACGATAAAGAACGCTAGCGTGAGCCTTTCCTTCTTGCTCTTGTAACAACTGAAATACGATCTCGCGATAATCGGCATACGATTCCAAGTCTCGACTGCCCCCAGCATTTTTACTTTCCGACCTATGCAAGGTGAAAGGAAAGTACCATAACGAAGAAAAATTTCGAAAACTTTTTTTAGCGAAAATACACGTTTTAAGACCCACTGATCATATTGTGACTGTTAAAAAAAAGAAATTTTTTTTCTGTGCCTAAACGACTGAATGTATTTCAATGAAACTTTACATTTATGTTTTATGTTCCCATTTCAATGTCTGATTAAATTTTGAGCGTGATCAGCTCCCGGATAGTGATGATTATACGTGTTATAGATTTATAATTACGATCTAAATAGGAGAATTAATTGCTACAGAAATAGATTAATCGTGACTCTTTCCGCTATGTTTTTCAATAACCGTATTAATTTGTTACACAGAATCAAATGTTATACAGGATGTACGGCCGCCCCTGGGAAAAATTTTAATGTGAGATTCTAAAGGCCAAAATAATACGAAAATCAAGAATATCAATTTTTTGATTGAGGCTCCGTTATAAAGTTATTAAAAAATTTCAAATCATTCTGATAAAATTATTTTTAGTTGCGGTGGTCAGTTACAATCGTTTTTGGTAAATACACATAACCCTGAAAACCTACGCACTTTCGAGAAAAAAATTTCTGACCGAAAATCTAACGCGAGACCAGAAATGCACCCCCGAAATTTCATGCGAATCTTTAAAATGTCGTAACTTCTAAACGGATTGGGGGATTTTAATATTTCAAACGGCAAAGAACGCGTATTTTGGTGAAGAATATGTAGAAATTCTAAAAATATTGGAAAAGTTGTTCCTTAACCCCGTGAAGTTAGAAAAATTGTCCAATTTTCAAACGGCCATAACTCCTAAAATGCTGAATGGATTTGATTGAAATTGTTTTCTTAAGTAGAGCTCATAGGTATCTACAAAAAAGTATTAAACAACTTTTCTGTTTAGTGCTAACCAAATTTATTAAAAATGAAAAACGAATTTGTAAGAATAATCGACAGGAGGCAGGTGCCTAAATTTTTTGACGAAAAAAAAAATTTCAAATCATTTTGGAAAAATTATTATTAGTTACGGGGGACGATTACAATAATTTTTGGTGAACAAATATACCCCCGAAATTCTACGCACTTTCGAGAAAGAAATTCGAGTAGGTCGAAAAATTTTTCAAGAAAATTAAAATATTTCATATCATTCTGGAAAAATTATTATTAGTTACGGGGGTCGATTACAATCATTTTTGGTGAACAGATATACCCCCGAAATCCTACGCATTTTCGAGAAAAAAATTCAGAAAGAAGCCTAAATTTTTCGTGGAAAAAAGTATTTCTTTTTTTTTAATAGTCACAATATGATGAGGGGGTCTTAAAACGTGTATTTCCTACAAAAAAAGTTTTTGAAATTTTTCTTTCATTATGGTACTTTCCTTATATACTTTCCATAGGTCGGAAAGTAAAAATTATTTTACCACGAGATCGTATTTCAGCTGTTTCTCTTTTACAAGAGCAAGAAGGAAAGGCTCACACTAGCGTTCTTTATCGTTTTTCCGAAATTGTGCGAAGTGTCGAGCTCACGCATGCGTGGCTCGTGTGGTAGTATATGCCTGCTACCCCCACCACTCCGTTAGACGCTAAGGAAGTTCGTCGTCACTATTGTCAAAGTCGATGCACTCAATTATGCCCGATCTGGCCACATTGCCGGGTGCAGAATCTGGCATCTCTGGGGGCAGTTTCCTCATGCACCGGTCTGTCGTCTGGTCGCACTGCTGGTAGCCAGTTTCATTTCGTAGTCCGTGACAAAGCGAGCACTCGTGTTTGCTCAACTACGAAATCCCATCGGGACCGAAGCGAGTGCATGTCACTTGCACCAGTCACCCACGAGAAAGGGACGAAACAAGTGTCGAAGGAATATGGCGGCGCATTGGAACGTGCCACAGTGATGCAGCGTACGCGCAACGAAACCCTCGACTTGGACTGACCAAAGAGGCCTCGCTCGCTAAACATACATCTGGCCAAATGACATGGGAATTTGTAATCGAAGGCACTTCTTGTTGACAATATGCGTCTTGCAACTCGTGAGTTTCGTCGACGAAGCAAACTTCTTCGGCCTTATCTTCCTCGTAATCGCGATACCGCGATACGTAAACGCGCATTTTCATCATTTTTCCTACTCGATCGAGTCATGCCTTTGTTTCCACGAATCTGGTTTCCTGTTATACGCTTTCCACTTCGAAACGCTGCTACCGATGTTTTACGGAAATGCTGAACCATTTTTCAACAATTTTATCGACGATATTACGGTCTGATGGGGGCATCGATTATCGTATCGTTTTATCGACCCACGGGTCGCGTGGTTTATCTCTGTTCCACGGTGATCCCTGTAAAAACTGACCGAATTATTTATCAATGCCGCTTTTCCTACTTTCTATTACTTTCAAATATTCAATTGCAGAGCCTAGCACCTTTTATTCTATTTACTCCGATCTTCATTCTAATAAGATATACAATAATTTTATTTCGAAATTTGGCAAATGTATCATTTTGGGTTCTTTTTGTCTTGATTTTCTTTGTATCTTAATAGCGGATATCAAGTTGTAATATTTGTGAAGACTCTTTCCGAGTTAATACAAGTCAAATGATATAGGCAAAAACATCGATGTAAATTTCTTTTATATGCAAACGATCATCAATTTTCCCAAGTAATCTCTTCAAAAAATAAGTCTGTTGGTATTCAACCATATTTTGACAATCTGTGTAATGTAACTCATTTTTCAGCAAAGATATAAAATATTAATGCAGGAAAAAAGTTGAATCCTGGTGCAGGTATCCCTTGTTGCAGGATTCAATTTCTCCTTTATCAATCTTTTGTACCTCCGTTTAGAAGGAAGCTACTATTTTTAGGTTCTATTTTTGTTTTGTTGAGCTTATGTTATGTTGTTAAATCTATTGGGATATTTCTACAAGTTTAATGAAGTATTAGGACAATTTGAATAATATTATAAGTATAATTGTTCATATTTTATATTATACACGTATATAAGCATGTTGAGCCATACACTTGGTGAATAAATAAAAATGGAAATATAAGGGATAAGAAATGATTATTCACTGACTATGAAAGTGCTTTAATTAGTCATTGCACTATTTATATTGAAATAATCTGTTCCTTTGGTAAACAAATTATGTTAAATGCAATTAATGTTTTACTTACACCAACCATTGAATAATCTGTACGAACAGATGGAAATAAACATGTAAAAGTTAATACATAATTCACAATTTAAAAGTAAACTTTTTATTTAGAACTAAAGAAATGCATTTGGTAGAGTTGTTTCATGAACTCTGGTTCTGGGTTCAAAGTGAGTATTTAATTAAGAATTTAGAACACGAGGCAATTGGTGCAGATTAAGAATACGCGTAGAAAGGAGTCGGCAGAAATTAAAGGAATTACTACTCCCATGCTAACTTATTTACATTGAATCTTTGTCTCCTTTATTCTATGCAATTAAATCTGTACTTTTTATTTTACATTTATAGATCGCTACCATAGAGCGGCAAGTTTTCGACTTTCTGGGCTTTATGTGGGCACCGATACTGGTCAATTTCTTCAATATTATATTCGTGATCTTAGGATTCTTTGGAGCCTTTCAGTATAGACCTAAATATATTATATCGGTAAGTAAGAATTGATTTAATTTTAATTACTTAATAATTATGTGATCATTATTATTAAAAGTCACTAGACGATTTGATGTTTCTCGATTTATTACAGTATTGTGTATGGAATATACTATGGCTAGGGTGGAATATATTCATGATATGTTTCTACCTCAATGTGGGTCTACTGGATAAAGTGAGCATAATAATGTTTCAGTACTCTGTAATCTTACCTCTTAAGAGCATAGTAAACTATAATAATTTTCAACATTTTTTCAGAATAGTGATATTTTAAACCTTGGTACCGGCAGTTTTTCCTGGTGGCACGTGAACGGACCAGGCTGTAAAGCTGTTTATGACGTTACTGAGCCTGAATTATTCAGACCTGCACGACCTACAAACGTAACAGACTGTGTGCTAGATTACGAAGTAGTTGAAATTTTACACGCGTCTACACAATGTATTTTAGGTGTAAGTACTATTTTTGCGTTTATTTTCCCAATAAAATTACGACGGTTGCCTTGCTTAAAATAATTGTTTCTACGTGTTTCAGTTTGTTGCGATTGTTGGGGGTATTTGTCTCAGTAAGGTTTTCCTAGAAGAAGATGATAGCTGTAAGTATAAGACTGAAAAACCATTCGATTATTGCTAGAGTCAGATTAGTATAAGAATTAGTTTATTGCGTGATATTATTTTGAGTGTTATTTTGGGATATTGTTTGGTGGTAAGTTTGGGTAATAATTGTATTGGTATTGGTTAAACGAGACTTAGGGAAGAAGTAATTGATAAATTATGCGTCTACACTTTTCAATATCACACTATTAACATAGCAAAAGGTGCAACGATAAATCTTTTTTTTTTTTATATATTTACTCGTTATATTTCGAAACCACGATAAATCATCTTCGGTGTTTTTTTTATCTGTATACACGTCTGAGATTTATTATTGCTTGAAACGAGGGTTGTCGGTTACAGTTGATTTCATTGGTGGATTTGATCCTCCATTTTGGTAAGTGCTTTGCCTGATTCATCGTTTGCACGTATTTTATCTATACACTTGAGCACGACTAAAGTGATTTTTACGTTTCGAGATATGCACTGATCCCTCATTAGCTCTTGAAATTCTTAAACACGTGTTGGTACCACTGGGAATGTCAGTGTATTGTGAAGTAACGTTTTGCTTCTTGGATATTATAAATCCGTTTCTACTGTATTTAGCTCGGTAGAATTGTTAAAATAGCATGTACTCTCTTTGCAAACGATAATCTGTTATCATTGAAAAAATTCGTTCTTCCGCTACGATTATTCAAATGCACCGATTAATCGAAAACGAAATAATGTGAGAAATGAAAATTCCCTTATTACTCGATCGTATTGGCCATAGTAGATTAAAGTTAAATTACACCTTTTAAGTTACTCACAACGAAACGAATCTCCTTCGCGCGGGACACAGCAAATTTGATCTAATGCAATGGATTCTACGTCATATTTCAGTTGACTTTGTTGGAGGTGATGACTTTGGGTTGGCAGGCCACACACCGTTACATCCTATGTACGTTAGCTACTCGGCTCTTCCGTCACCCGCCTACCCTCACAAAAATTCCACTCAAAATTACCCCGCAGGCACTGCCAGCTCCCAACAATCCGTTTCTCATGATACCAGCTTTCCAAAACATCATGAAAAACAATGCAATAGCTCGGGACGAAGTAAAAATAGTTTTAGAAATGACACCATCAGAACCAATAGGAGCAACGTGTCTAATCGCGATTTGAAGTACGTAGATTATTCGAACGATTACTCGAATCCGTTGGATCATTTGCAGAGGCCAGTGTCTCCTTACGACGAGTACGATTCGTTAGACAGTGCTGCTAAATTGAGGTATCAAAAGAACAAATTGTATTATCCGCAGTCGTCAAAGTACAGTCCCGTCGCGTCGTCGCGCCTAAAATCTCGACCTATCGCTGCGAAGCAAACTAAAGCCTCAAATAAGCCCAGAGTTTTTACAGATCACGTTCGTGAACAGCCATTGAGATCGTTTTATTCCGATCCTAGATTGGCGGTCGAAAACCAACAAAATACAAGCGACCAAGAACAACCGAGTAGGTCTCAAAGAGACAGCAGGCCCCTCTCGTTATATGCCAGTAATTTTTAGTGTTAGAATTAAGCTTAGAGCGTTCCCTTTGTTTCCTTCTCTAGAGTTTCGCGTGAAATTTCTTTCTAGTTTTGAAAACATACGACTGAGGTTACGTTTACTACGACACTGTTGTTTCGTATAAAATTTTTAAGCGTGACACATCATTCCTATACTTGCCAAATAAATAGAACAATTAGAGTAGTTAGCTCAGGGTGTTTTCTTCGCCTTCGATTTACATTAATCTAGATTAGAATTCTATCATTCTCTGTAACATCACTCTAACGTTCGCCCGCGTTTTAAAGTATTGACTTTATAGTCTTCGCTTTCGTGTTCATTTCAATTGTGTACAATTGTATCGTAGCGATACAGATTTGTACGGGTACATGCACTGTGATACGTATAGAGATATAAATCATGTCGTTTGAGGTATTTTCGGTCGTCAATTTAAAAACTTGTTCTCGCTGGAGAATTTTTGATACGGAAGATGAATCGTTACATTCCGGATGTACGGTGGGAAAAAGAATTTTATTGTAAACGTTCACGAATGTTGCAGGATTGTTCGACGCTTTGTTCATGGTCCGTAGATTTATTTACAATTTTTCTAACGATATTCCCTTTCGTGCGAATAGTACTTGCTAAGGATTCTTTTGACAACACGCGTGGCCTGGCTTGAAAAGTAGCACACGAAAGAATTTTAGACTGCATTTGATTTAGCTTGTTGTATCGTGACGGTGAACAATGTTGTTTATACGGTGCTGCGAGAACTTTTATTTTAAGAACACGTCTGTATATTGCAGTAGTGCATGCTAGTTCTTGTTTTTTTTTACAGTTTTAAGTTGGACGGAACGTTCGTTTTTTTATATTTCTTTTTCGAGCAACGATTAAGCTACATCGTTTACGTACGTAGAAGAAAGCACACGTGCGATTCGATGTTGCAAGATACAAGACGGGTCTTCTATAGAATTTTATTTGTAATTATGTATTTTCAAAGTTAATCTTTGACATTCCATAGATTATTGATCGAATGCTTAGTACTCCTCGATAAAAAAAAAAGTAAAATCTGAAGTGACAGTAAGCGTACGAGGAGACGTCTCTTTTTTTTTTTTTTTTTTTATGAAATACGGAGTCGTTCGTTCCTTGATAGACTGCATATTTTAATCGTGCAGTATGTTTTATAAGTTACGAATCAAAAGCTAAGAAAAATATATCAGTCAAGTGTGATGAATAACTAATTAGTGCAAGATAATGTTACAGAGGATTTGCTTTCAACTGTCGCAGAAGCTAAAGTCTTTAAATTAATGCATAATTATTCTTAATCGCATGCATGTCGAACAAACATTGACTCGAGAGCTAATTTGCACTACTATGTTGCGGACCGTAGATGTACAATTATTTTTCAACAAAGTATGCCCTATTGATACTATGAATAAATAGTGACTAATTATCAGTCTTGACAAGTTATTTTGGTTACGACATTTCGATTCATACGTTTTCAGTTTATCTTCAGAATGAATATAATTATACATATATTCCACGCATACAAAATCAAAATTACAATTATAAACGTTTGAGAGAAGGGGGGGGGGTAAAAATAATGATATCAAAACAGATAAGAAAGTAGAAAATGCAATAACAGTAAAAATGTGTCCGGTGTGAACTAATGCGAATTTAAAAGCTACGTAAAAAATATTAAAACGCATACCTACAATGTAATTTGAAAAAGAAAAGTAAAAAGGAAGTTATGGGAAAACAATAATAACCTAAATATATAGATGAGAACAATTATGAATACAATGTACATTTAACAGGTTATGTAATTGTTTTCTGTTCTCTTCAGATTACGAAGATCATACTCGAGCTTTCTTTCTTATACATGTGTGCCTTTATAATTTAGTAACAAAGCGAAGAATACCTATAACGGAGTACATTTGGTTTTTAGATAATTCAAGAATCTGGTAATACTATTTATAGTTATTTCAAATCTTCCTAAAATGTCTTCCTACGAACAAGTATTTTTTGTGTTCTATTAGGGTTCAAATACAACCTTGATATGTCAATACGTAGCAAAAAAAGTATGTCGCCATTATCTACTTCTTCGTCTTCAAAACCTGGATACGAGTTGAAACTATATTATAAAAATAGCTCATTAAAGACTGATAATTATCGAGTCATTGTACCTATATATTATAAGTAAATATCCGCAGAATTGAAAGGAGAAGAATTGAGCTGCGCAAGTGCAAACATACAGTTACGGAAGAATAAAACGAGAACTTTTTTCGTATTTCTGAAGCAATAAATATATTTTAAACATTCATCGTAGATATATTAAAACTGATTAGTAGGTTAAATGTATATTATTCAATATTTTTTTTTCCATCACACTTCACCGATACTATTGTTAGCTTTGTTCGTTATTTATAACCACAATCTGCATACAATCTAAGTACTTTTACCTTAAGTAGCCTTAATTAAAACATTGTTACTTATCGATTACATATTTAGTATATGTTGCAATATTTACGTAGGATACCAAGAAATTGTTACTTAATCTTTTTACACTCTTAATGGGGCACACTCGTACGGAGTTGTAATTATAAATGTTGCTCAGTGAACGTTAATTGTATATATGAATATGTTCGTTTTAAGTTTATCTGTACCCATTTTACGTGATTTATTTATAACACAGGAACACATTATTGTATCGCGTTAGAGAAATTAGAAATTAGTGAAATTAAATACCTGACTACGATCGTTGTACGTTCAGAGGTGTCACTTCAGATACGTCGTTGGACGTAGCACAATCCCTTTTTTTTTTGTTCGAAGCTTGTACAGTAGTCGCGTGTACTTCGTTTAAGGGCATAGTTATTAGTTTTATATTTATTTACTGTATCATATGATTTACCTTGGTGCAGTTCATTGGCGACAATAAACGTGCAATGCTACTACTTGCTTGCTTTTTTATTTATTAACCCCCGTTCTCTATTTCTTTCTCTCCTCTCTCTCTCTCTCTCTAACATTCTCCTCCTCTACGGTTTTTTTTTCGGGGAACTGTTTCGTATGCTCATTAGTTACTATTTTGGTGATCGTTCATTTCAAATCTTTACGTTACTGTACGGTTTAACCGAAAGTAATAGGTTCCAAGAATATCTTCCATAATAATAGTCTCTGTTTGGTTTAATTTCACATAAGTTGCATGGATTCTGCATACGCTGAGCATGTAATTTTCATATTTACATTGGGCCGAGACTATAAAAATAATTTGATATTTCAATACTGTAAATAAATTTTCAATATCATTGTTCGACTATTATTATCGAAATATTATTATTTAAATAAGAAAGTATTCATATATATGCACCGTTTAAGTCAAGTGGTTGAAATTACGTTAATCGATTCGAGAAATCGTAACTCGTTTGGCAATAACGTAGCTGATGTTTCCATTAATTTTACTTTAACGTGTGTTTCTAACTGCAAAGGTTTGCGCCTGGCATACGAGAGAATGAACGATCGGGGTATCCAGGCGCAAACTGTCCAGCAACCTCGGCCATTCCTAACCTGTGACGAGACTTTTGCTCTGTTTCCGCCGCAGTGCAAGCTAAACGGAAGAAAAAACAGCCGAGACCGTTGTACAGCATCGAGTACTCTCAGCCGGAGGCGTCTGTGCACGACGACAGCGTCTCGCCGAAGCCGATGACACCTCGCAGAGTGAAACGCAGGTCGGTGATCTCTCGAGACGGGACGCGAAGGTCCAGCCGCAGGAGCTCGGTGAGGCAATCGCGCAGAAAGAACCCTGTGAATCGTATAATGGACCATCAGGAGAATCTCTACGCCAACACGACGCCTAGCAATCTTACCAACCAGAACGTTAACTCGCTGTCCCAAGGTACGCTCAACTACGACAGGATATCGATGACTTGGGACAGAGACAGAAACTCTAATTGGCAGCCAGAGGCTGTGAACATGGCCGTCTCCTCTCCCACCTTGTGGAACCAGGAGTCCAGTAACAACTACTCCAACACCAGCAATTACACTAACCAGAACTACCCGAACTGGGACGCAACCAGTTCTACCAGGAATCTCGCCGATAATTGGCAGCCTAGCGAGCTGAGCCCTATGCAGTGGCAGGGCCAGAGCAACCCGACTTTCCAGCAGACGAGCACGCAGAGTCTGAACGGCGAGGACCTGGACGATCTCTACAACAATCGTCCAGCCAGCGCCAGGTCCAGCTACAGCAACTATCACGGCGTTAGGGCAACGCCCCAGGTACCCAATAGAACCGACGTTGTCAGACAAAGCCAGAGGCAGTTCGTTCTCAGCGGACCGCCTGCTTATCAGGACACGGTCATTTGAGGTATCGCTGTTATTGTTATTCTTGTTGAACACTGATAAGAAATAATTCTCTTGGTCGGAACGGCGACCGATTTTCATCCTTTCTGATGCGGCTAATTTATGGGGATACGTATTTTAATGGTACGTTCGGTTTTTAATAGGCTTTTGCATGGTGAGGATGTTTTAAATACCGAAGCTAATAATTCACTGTTCCACAAATTAAATTTTGTTTTCTGTTTTTCAATATTCGCTAGGTAATTCTTATAGAGCTTCGTACCCTAAACACGAATCTGGAAACGGAATTTTGGGTAAAAACGAGGTATTACGCGAAAATTAAAAACGTCAGACAGTTCCACTTAATCTTAAAAGATAGAGGAGAGATTCCTCAATATGCTAACATCGATAGTTATAATATTTTGTGCTTTTGAACGGTTGTAAATGATCGCCAAAGTTTGAAAAAGTGTCGAAATACGTACTTTATACACAATACTTTTGCATATTTACGAAAAGTTCTTTACCTGACAAGAAATCTATACACAGGATCTGATTCTGCAGACATTTCTGAAGAAGAAACTGTCCAACAGAAGTGTAGAAGCCGTTCTCAATTGTCACAGGTCGAGACAATGTGTATTGGCAACGCGTGCACGACGTTTGACCGCCACGCGGCCATCGCTTGCCTAATCTCGGCGCGGCAGTGCCGTAGCTACCTACAAGCGAAACTGGTATAATGGTGCATTAGGGTATGCACTCTGTATACAGGGTGTTCGGCCACCCTTGGGAAAAATTTTAGTGGGGGATTCTAGAGGCCAAAATAAGACGAAAATTAAGAATATTAATTTGTTGATGGGGGCTTCGTTAAAAAGTTATTAACAATTAAATTCAAAAATTTCAAATCGTTCTGGAAAAATTATTTTAGGTTGCAGGGTCGATTATAATCATTTTTGGCGAATAGACATACCCTCGAAATCCTACCCACTTTCTAGACAAAAATTCGAGAAGGTGTGAAATTTGTTGACAAAATTAAAAAATTTCAAATCGTCGTGGAAAAATTATTTTTAGTTGCAGGAGTCAATTACTATCATTTCTTATCATTAGACATACCCTCAAAATCCTATCCACTTTCGAGAAAAAAATTTGAGAACGTGTGAAATTTTTCGAGAAAATTAAAAAATTTCAAATCGTTTCGGAAAAATTATTTACGGATGCAGATGTCAATTACAGTCATTTTTGATGAACAGAGATACCCCCGAAATCCTACGCACATGTGAGAAAAAAATTCGAGTAGGTGCTGAAATTTTTCGGCGAAATTAAAAAATTTCAAATCGTTCTAAAAAAATTATTCTCGGTTGCAGGGGTCAATTACAATCATTTTTGGTCAATACGTATACCCTCGAATTCCTACGCACTTTCGAGAAAAAAATTCATTACCGAAAATATAGTTTCTGGCCAGAAATGCTACCCCGTAATTTCATGCGAATGTTTAAAATGTCATAATTCCTGAACGGATTGGACGATTTTAATGTTTAAAAAAGCAAACTACGCGTATTTTGCTAAGGAATACGTGGCAATTCCAAAAATATTCGAAAAGTTATTTCTTGACTCCGCAAAATAAGAAAAACCCCATAAAAATGGTCTAATTTTCAAACAGCCATAACTCCTACAATAGTGAATATATTTCGATGAAACTTTTTTCTGAAGTAGAGCTCATGGGTACCTACAAAAAAGTATTAGACAACTTTTCTGTAGGGCGTCAAACAAAATTACTAAAAATGAAAAACGAATTTTTAAGAAAAATCAACACTGCCTTAATTTTTCAGGGAAAATGGAAGGTTTCAAATCAGTCTGGAAAAATTATTTTCGGATGCAGATGTCAATTACAGTCATTTTTTATGAACAGAGATACCCCCGAAATCCTACGCACTTGTGAGAAAAAAATTCGAGTAGGTGCTGAAATTTTTCGGCGAAATTAAAAAATTTCAAATCGTTCTAAAAAAATTATTCTCGGTTGCAGGGGTCAATTACAATCATTTTTGGTCAATACGTATACCCTCGAATTCCTACGCACTTTCGAGAAAAAAATTCATTACCGAAAATATAGTTTCTGGCCAGAAATGCTACCCCGTAATTTCATGCGAATGTTTAAAATGTCATAATTCCTGAACGGATTGGACGATTTTAATGTTTAAAAAAGCAAACTACGCGTATTTTGCTAAGGAATACGTGGCAATTCCAAAAATATTCGAACAGTTATTTCTTGACTCCGCAAAATGAGAAAACCCCCATAAAAATGGTCCAATTTTCAAACAGCCATAACTCCTACAATAGTGAATATATTTCGATGAAACTTTTTTCTGAAGTAGAGCTCATGGGTACCTACAAAAAAGTATTAGACAACTTTTCTGTAGGGCGTCAAACAAAATTACTAAAAATGAAAAACGAATTTTTAAGAAAAATCAACACTGCCTTAATTTTTCAGGGAAAATGGAAGGTTTCAAATCAGTCTGGAAAAATTATTTTCGGATGCAGATGTCAATTACAGTCATTTTTTATGAACAGAGATACCCCCGAAATCCTACGCACTTGTGAGAAAAAAATTCGAGTAGGTGCTGAAATTTTTCGGCGAAATTAAAAAATTTCAAATCGTTCTAAAAAAATTATTCTCGGTTGCAGGGGTCAATTACAATCATTTTTGGTCAATACGTATACCCTCGAATTCCTACGCACTTTCGAGAAAAAAATTCATTACCGAAAATATAGTTTCTGGCCAGAAATGCTACCCCGTAATTTCATGCGAATGTTTAAAATGTCATAATTCCTGAACGGATTGGACGATTTTAATGTTTAAAAAAGCAAACTACGCGTATTTTGCTAAGGAATACGTGGCAATTCCAAAAATATTCGAAAAGTTATTTCTTGACTCCGCAAAATGAGAAAACCCCCATAAAAATGGTCCAATTTTCAAACAGCCATAACTCCTACAATAGTGAATATATTTCGATGAAACTTTTTTCTGAAGTAGAGCTCATGGGTACCTACAAAAAAGTATTAGACAACTTTTCTGTAGGGTGTCAAACAAAATTACTAAAAATGAAAAACTATTTTTTAAGAAAGATCAACAGGTTAGGTTAGGTCTGGGTTAGGTCTGGGTGCCTTAATTTTTCGGGGAAAATGAAAGGTTTCAAATCATTCTGGAAAAATTATTTTCTATTGCGGAGGTCAATTACAATCATTTTTGGTGAATAGACATACCCCCGAAATCCTGTGCATTTTTGAGAAAAAAATTCGGTACAGGCGGAACTTTAAACGTTAATAACTTTTTAACTAAGCCTCCATCAACAAATTGGTGTTCTTGATTTTCGTTTTATTTTGGCCTCTAGAATTTCCCATTAAAATTTTTCTCAGAGGTGGCCGAACACCCTGTATAGTATGTTTGATTTTTTTTGTAACTTTTATTGCTTAATATATTTGTATACTCTAGGATACTAATCACTGAATAATATTTTCAAAATCCATGCAAACTTATCAATGGAATCGCTCGAACATGTACGCTTTTCTTAGAAAGATCTGGAGTAAATCCATGCTATTCACACTTCGCTCTTAGGAATATTATTCCTATTCTGTGAGGCAACCCAACAATAAAATGTTGTTTATTTTTTTACGGCTTTGTATTTAAAAAACCATTCATATACATACAGTGAACATCGAAATTGTTTAGAAATGGAAATGATCGAGAAATGTTTTGTACAAATCCACAAACAGATTAAAAAATCAAAAATGATAAACATATACAGGAATTGGGAGCCTAAGATATTATCGGTGTCGCATCCATTATGCGTAGCTACGGCACTGCCGCGTCGAGATAGGCAAAGCGATGGCCGCGTGGCGGTAAAACGCCGTGCACGCGTTGCCAATACACATTTTCTCAACCTGTGACAATTGAGAACGGCTTCTACACTT